GCAGAAGACGTGGCGAGCACAGATCGCGCTTGGAGAGGGGCGGCTCGTTCGTCTGGAAATGAAGACATCAAGTGGCTTCCGCTTGACGTGTCCGTAGGTCAGCTCAGTCAGTGTGTGAGTGAGCACACACCGCTCATCACTCATCCAGCTTAGACCCTTTTCTTCTTGTGGGGAAGTGCTCCGAACGAAGGCCGTGCAGGGAACGAACTCGGTCAGGAAGACGGAGATATTTTGAAAGGTGGACTGGGACTGCATGCAGCAGGCAGCTAAAGCGAGCGCACCAAACCTAACCGCAAAGTATTGGTGAGTGCACGTCATTCACACGATTCACCATTTCGCACAACGTCCCTGCCTGCTGACGTGCGGCCCACAAATCCAAATTCTAAATTCACCAGTGGTGAGTGTGAATCCACCGATCGAGGCTTCTCACGAGCTAGAGGAAGCGACCGAGGCGGAGATGACCGAGGCTCCTGCATATTCACATGTATGACCCGCACATGCTCTGCAGTGTGAGTGATCCCCATGCGATGATGTGGATGGCATCTGTTTGTGTCTCAGAGTCGTAGCTACGGTCTTGGGTGGATGTGATGCGATGTAGCCGGAGCGGTGCGCGCTCATGAAAGAGCGTTTTCCCCCGGAACCGTGCATGCGTGCATACGAGGAGGTCCCACCGCCCAGCTAATTCTTGACTCTGGCTCCCCACTTCGCTCGCGTCCCCCTCTCGATTCTTCATAAGGAGCCACCCCAGCCAGCCATCTTCGTCGTTACAAGCCTTCTTTCCACGCTCACCAATCTACATCACTTCCACCACATACCATTGCCTGCTTGCACACCACACCCAAATCCAGGCTCACACAATCTCCAGCCACCGCAAAGATGGTTGCCGCCTCCGCCTCTGAGGAGCTCGATGTGGTCATCATTGGTGCTGGTATCTCCGGCATCAATGCATCCTACAGAGTGAGTGCGAGTCTTTCTACAGTGCTTTCACACCTTTCAAGTCCTGAGCTGATCATACGACAATTCAACTCTGCGGCGCCCGACGTCCACTCGCAGCTGCAAACCATGACCAAGTGGCAAAATTACACTGTGCTCGAAGGTCGCTCCGAAATGGGCGGTACTTGGAGCCTGTTCAACTACCCCGGCATTCGTTCAGAGTGAGTACGGCTCGATTGCCACCTGATATGAAAGTGACGCGAGCGGAGCGCAGCTGGGCCGAGTCGGATCGGTGTCAACACCTTGTGTGGGATCAGGAGGGCGAGGAGGCGAGGGTGAGCAAAGTAGCTGACTGCTCGTGCCACTCGACTCTTCTGTCTGCCACTCAGCTCGGACATGTATACTCTTGGCTTTCCCTTCCGACCATGGCTCGACGCCAAGGGTATTGCGAGGTGAGAGCAGCGCGCAAGGCACAGTTCAAAAGGCTTCTTACTCACGTCGCTGCTTTCGCCTTTTGTACTACCCAGTGGCGAGGACATTCTAAAGTACGTCAAGGACACGGCCCGCGAGACGGGCGTTGACAAGCACATTCGCTACAATCACAAAGTACAACGATTGGATTGGAATTCCGAGACCAAGAGATGGACTCTCTACGTCAACGCCAATGGCCAAGAGAAGACCTTCACTTCCCGCTTCGTGTACTCGTGCGCTGGGTACTACAGCTATGACGAGGGCCATAACCCGGAGCTGCCGGGTCAGGACAACTTCCAGGGCAAGCTTATTCACCCGCAATTTTGGCCGAAGGATTTGGACTACGTCGACAAGAAGGTGGTGGTTGTTGGCAGCGGAGCAACTGCGATCACTGTCGTTCCAGCTATGGCAGAGAAGGTCAAGAGCATCACGATGCTGCAGAGAAGTCCCGGTTATTTCCTGAAGCTGCCTAGGCGAGACGCGGTAGTAGAGTTGTGGAAGAAAATCTTGCCCAGCCAAGCTGCCCACTCGTTTATCCGGATGAGAAATGCTTTCCGCGCATACCTGCTGGTCTGGATCTGCAAAGGCTTTCCCAGCGTTGCCAGAAGAGTGCTGAGATACTTGACTGCGAAGGAGCTCCCCCCTCACATTCCCTTGGACCCTCACTTCAACCCCAGCTACAACCCTTGGGACCAGCGTATCTGCCTGGACCCTGACGGCGAATTTTTCGCCTCCCTTCGCTCCGGAAAAGCCAACATTGCAACAGGACATATCGACACAATCACTTCGAATGGCATCAAACTCAAAGACGGAAGCTTTTTGGAAGCAGACATCATCATTGCTGCGACAGGGCTCAAAATGACAATGGCAGGAGGCTCTCAGCTGTACGTGGATGGAAAGAAGAAAGACATCGGACAACTGTACATCTACAAAGGACAGATGCTCGAAGACGTGCCAAACTTTGGTCTCTGCTTGGGCTACACCAACGCGTCCTGGACGCTCGGATCCGACTTGGCATCTCGCTACATTGCGCGCTTGATCAACGAGATGGACAAGAAGGGCATCGACGTGGTCACTCCTCGTTGCGACCACACTACTGTGAACGAAAAGCCGCTGATCAATCTCAATTCGGGCTACATTACCAGGGCTAGAAAGGATCTGCCAAAGGGAGGAAACAAGGCCCCTTGGTACCTACGACACTCTTTCTTCTACGACTTGCTCGTCGTCAAATTTGGAAGCGTCCTCGACAGCCTCGAGCTTTCTGCTGCCACTCACGCCCAAGAGCTGACAGAGTGAGCACATGAGTAGCAAACCCTTTGCGAAAGGAGATCGCTATCCAACAAGACACAAACAAGACGTGAACAATACGCAACATACTTTTCACTTGGACCCTCCCATCTCTCATTGTAATTCAATCTTTGCTATTCTCGTCAGATAATCATAGGCCCCACACTTGGTTGTCTTGGCTTGCGTGCATGAGAGCGTCCTAGGAGGAGACGTTTCTTTGCTAAGTTGCCACACGTGGTGGATATGCTCAGCCCATGGACTGGTCTATTGAATGCGGCCTATACAGTCCGGCCAAGTCGGCTCAAGCTGAGCGCTTGTCCAAGGCAGTCAGGAGAAAAAGCTCTTCCTAACTTGCTCATCACATCACTATACCGGCACTCGCGACTCACTACAGTGTTTGATTGTCGTATCACTCAAGCCTGCGTATGGTAAGCCAATCGGCAACTCGGAAAGCGGGCTTGCCGTCTGCCGTGGCGGTGCTTTCAAAATCGCCGTGGTTTGATTCAATTGCGCAGCAGCCTTAGAAGTGCGTAGCGTGAACATTTCAATTGGTTACCTCGAATTAAAAATCCAAAGATAATTTTGATGCAGGATTCACATTTGAGCTTTGTGGGACACGTGACGTCACAGCCGTGCGTTGCACGAGCACGAGGATGATATGAAAGCGCCAAACCGAAACGGGCAACGAGGACCGCGCCACCTCGGAGTCAACATGCACGCGCGCACTCACGACTGCAGCGCGCGCGTATGCCTCGGATGCGTCTCCACAGCTACCGGTACAGCAGCAGCAGATTGGCTGAGCCGGCCCCCTCTCTCAGCGCTCGCAGATCATGATGTTGGTCTGCAGTCATTCACCTGGGTCAAACTTAGATCTAGGCTATTTGCGTCTACCGCACCCATCATCTGCTTTGCAAGCTCCAACAACAGCAAGTCCTCCGACCACGACGCTTCCCCCCCCAGCTTAGATAGGACGCTCGTCGACTTTGCTACGCACGTACTTTTCACTCACAACGCGCCTCCACCGCTGCACCTGCTCGCCACCGAATCGCCGTGGGAGTAGCGTATCGGGCAACAATCTTGAGCGCGCCTGATCCCCTCTCCTGCCAATCTCGACGCAAGTACAAGATGACCTCGATGGCCTCGCCGGACATACCCACGCTCAAGATATTGCTCATCGGAGCATCCAGCGTAGGCAAGTCGTCCTTGCTCCTACGATTCACAGACGACGAGTTTTTGGGTCCGGAAGAGAGCAGCGCTACGATTGGCGTGGATTACAAGATCAAGGCCATCACTGTTTCGGGAAAGAGATACAAGCTGAGCATTTGGGATACAGCGGGCCAGGAGAGGTTCAGGACGCTCACTAGCAGCTATTACAGGGGCGCTCATGGGGTCATCATCGGTGAGTGGGGGTGCTGGTTGGTGCGACATTGCGCTCATCAGCGCTTCAGCAGGCTGGACTATCTGTCGCCGAGCTGATGCAAGGAATGCTTCGGTTCGTGTCGTGCAGCCTACGATGTCACGCAGAGATCCTCTTTCGACGCATTGCCTACTTGGTTCTCGGAACTCGAGACTTTCAGCTCCAGTCCCGAAGTCGTCAAGATCGTGGTGGGCAACAAAGTTGACAAGGTAAGTGTAGACAGTCGCGATGGCTCGCAATGGCTTGCTGTATGCAGATGCAGCGCGGGAGGAGGTTCCTGATTTCTGTCCCAGGCCTTGAAGAGGCTGAAGAAAGACTCCCAGCTGACGTATCTGACCTTTGCGCACCTCGACCTCTTCTTCGTGCAGGATTTCTCGCGAGTCGTGACGACCGAAGAAGGCAAGGCGTTCGCAGACAAGATGGGTGCGCTCTTTATTGAGTGCAGTGCCAAACGTGGTTCAGGTGTTAGCGGAGCTTTCGATGAGCTGGTCAACAGGGTGAGTGTCCAGTCCCGAGCGCTGCTTCTCGAACAAGCCTTGCCAAGTGTGGGTGTGGATGACTGACGCACGAATTTCGCATTGAACGCGATTGGCCCGGACCGCAGATCGTTTCCACACCCTCACTCTGGGCTGCAGGGACGGGTCGAAGACCCGGCGATCGTATACCCGGAGGCGCGCCTGCTGGCAGCGCCTCGGATACGAGGGGCAACATCAGTCTGTCAGACCCTGGAGGAGTCGTGGGTTATGGTCTCGGTGTGGCGCGAGACAGGTGCAGTTGCTAGGCGATCAACTGTAATCTTGGGGTCCTGAAGTGAGACGTCCATTGCGCCTCTGTGTGCAATGGCAGCGAGCGCCCCGCGATCTGCGCAAAATTGGCACAATTTCGTGATTGCCCTGGGTTACTCTGGTCCCGCAGCCCCACCTTGGCGCACCACCCGATCTGAGCCCTCGAGCCCACCCAACCTCCATGTTTGTTGCAACCGCTGTCTCCCTCTCTCTGTCTGGCATACGAGCGCATAGACCCGGAGCCGTTCGCGCCCTTCAACACGCACACTCTCTGAAGCATCTTCGCTTTGCTTACGTACCCGCTCCCACCCTCGGCACACACTGTACAATACATATATATAATCCTGTATGTGCGCTGCCTTCAAGCTTCGACATGGCTGCTCTATCCTGAAAAGCAAAGGCGCCAGGCCAGACCTGAGTCCTTGGGTCGCAATTTTTGGGTGTTGATTTGAAACGGTCTCTTAGCGAGTGCAAAGAAGTACAACTGCAGAGCAGCTTACGCCTTGACCACACCGTTGTCCTTGGCCACGTCGACAGCCTTGTGTTCCAGGGCATCTAGTAGGTTGAGAGCATTCTCGTAAATGGTAAAGACGATGCCTCCGCTCAATATCAACCTGGTAAGCCGCGGTGTGGTACCTTTCCAGAACCTCAGCACACCTTCTTCCTTCAGGACAGTCGTGAAGCAATTGAGCATGCCCGTATAGCGAGCCGAATTGGCAGATTGCAATCGCGTCTTGACCACGCTGAGAAGAGAGGAAGATCGAAAGGCGCGTCAGCGGGTCTTGACGTGGGCTCTGCAAGTCACGCCGTGCACACTCACTCGAAAGGCATCGTCAGGTCTGAGAACGAGGGAAGGGGGAGTTGATGAAGGCGCAAAGTTCAAGGAAGTCAGTAAGTACCCCATCTCTTGAAACAAGAGGTCTTGCAAAATCCCTCCTGGAAATACGCACAGACTGTGACCACACCAGCAGCGGCACCCATCAAGAATGTCTCCACACTGCCCGTCTTGCGCCCATCTTTGGTAGCGAGCGCCCTGAGTGTCGAGTAGGTTGTCAAGCGAACTGCAGAATTAGCTCCTTGTCTCGCCATCTGCCAATCGTGTGCGCAGGTGCAGGTGCAAAAAAGTGACGGCTCGTTAGCAGGGTCGTCGGGGCGCCTGGCTCGAAACGAGGTCCAATCAGACTCACTGTTGGCACGAGACCTTTGTAAATGCCGCGAATGCCTTCCGCCCGGACGATGGCTGCGCTACCGCTGATGAGACCCTGATGTGGCCAACGTGCGAGAAGAGCATCGTGAGACTTGCTTCGATCTAAACACCCTCTCACGAGCAGGACTGCGGAGCTATCCGCCGGTCCATGCGGAGCTCAGAGCTTCGAAAGCGGTCAAGAGTGACGCACCTTGTACAACCTCTCCGACTTTGGTTTCTTTCCATCCTCTATCAGTCTCGTCTTGATAGCTTCAGAGGGGGCGACAGCAAAAGCACCTTCGCACAAGCCTGCCAGAAAACCAGCGGCGATGGATCTTGGAAGCGTCAATTGACCCGTTTCGCGATCAGCTACGGCTAGCTTGATACTGTCGTAAGAGAGGAATCTGACTCCTGCTTTGACCGCGTTGCCCGCAACGAGTGCTCTATGCACAAGCCACAAGACATTGGTCATGAGTCCGAGGTATGCAGGCATTGACAGCGTCAAATCTTGCCGCCCCGAACGCTCTCCGAACTCGGAGCTGTGCCAAGCTGAGGCGACTCACGAGCATCCTGCGTACAAGCCTCGCACGCCGTTCCTACCCACCGTCTCCTTGACGATGGCAAAAGGCCCAGGAGGTTTGGCTCCGCTAGCCACTGCAAATTGAGCTTGCGTCTTGACGTATTCGGTAGGGTACGTTGCGAACCCTTCCACTGCGCCTGCAAAAGCACCAGCAACTAGCGAGTTGAGCGGCTTTTCTTGCCGCTTCTTGGCCGGCGGAACTTTCGCAGAGGAAGGGGAGGTGGAGGTGGTGGTTGCGGATGACATGATGCGAGACAGGACTGGTGAGTGTGAGAGCGAAGTGCGGCGGCTGGCTGCGTGCAAAGGCGTGTGTACGTTGACTGCTGTCGTAGTGTCCAGTCCGTCGGCGCCGCTTCTCTCGCTGCGATAGAGCGCTTCAATCAATCAATCAAGCAGCAGAAGCACCGAAGTTGCGATGCGATAAGCAAATGTCTTAATTTGGAAATACTCGTGATTCAGGTAAGATAAGCCGAGAGGTGTAGCTAGGTGAGGAGAGCGGTCTTTTCCCGCCCAGCGAAGCACTTATTGTTGGGCTTCACTGCTATCTGCGGTAATACGCGTGGGCAGGCCCGAATATGACCGAATTGCGAATATGAGACGTGTTCTGTTCTGACTCAGATTGAACTGCGAGCTGGTGGGGGCAAATCAAGCTCGCGATCGAGCAGCGTGGAGTGCATGCGATGGAGAGTGGTTGACCGCGCTGCTGATGACATGTATGATTGTGGTCGAATAGGAGCTGAAACAAATCGCAAGGTGGTCCAGGTAGCGCATATCTGATTCACGTGGATCCAGCTCGGCTCTGCAGTCTTGAGACAAAGACTTGGCGCTGCGTGGCCGCTTTTCTTCTCGTGTCCGCTCGCCGATGCCCGCGAGGATTCTTGTCCGCGGCGACCGCGGGGCTACGCATCTATAGGCGTCGAATGTTGGTATAGCGATGAGGCCGCCGCTGTTGGATCAATCTCTGACGCCTGATCGGGCTTTGGTGATTGTAAGTTAGGATCACTCACGACTTTCGAATTGATCGCGAATGGTGGTGGCAGGCGTGCGCACATGATGTGAAGAGGCGGTGGCTGCTTGCAGCTAGCTAGCTGGTCTTGTCACGCACGAAACGTATGCTAATATATAGCTCCTGTCCGAGATCAATTTGTCCACTTTCAAGAGATCGCCGAGTCAGAGTTGCACAGATATTTGTTCCAGCATCAATCGACCGAGTGCTGGATGCACCAAGGTATTCAATGAGCCCCGCAGTCACGTTGCTGCCTCGTCGATTATGGCCGGTAAGCGTGAATTGGG